TGGGGGCGCCGACAGCTCTGCTTGAAGCTGCGGTGCGGGGAAAACTGGGGTGTGCACGTGCCTGCGCCATGCGGGGCTGAGTGGGCGGCGGCGGGGGGTTTGGGCGCCGCCCTTTGAGCAGCCCCGGGGTGACTGGGGATGCACATGAAGGCACACAGGAGCGTTTGGGTGGGGGTCCCCGGAAAGAGGCGTCCCCGGGTGTAATCTCAGGGGAGCTGTCGCCGTCTTCCCAGTGGTCCGCACTTGCCCGGGCTCACATCCTGGCGGGCCAGCGCGTCACTCTGGTCAGAGTCCCCTGAAGCCCCCCGCTGCTGCTGAGTGGGCGCTTCCCTCCAAAGGACGTGGCCACAGGGCCACGTGCACCTTCTCCTGGGCCGTGGAAGCCTCCTCAGGGTGGGGCCCCATAGCCGGGACCTCGGGGGCCTGAGCAGGAGCCCCGGGGTGTCAATTATGCGCCGGCCCTGGCCGCTGGCCGCTTGACTGACAGCTCATTACCCCGCTGCCATTTTTGGGCGGTGGAATTTAATCTCCCAGATGGGAAGCAAATCAATTTGCCCATCCGCCGCAGCTGAGCCTACTTGAACTCCGCTCTAATTTATTCTCTTAAGCTTGGGAAGGCTTGTTGTTTCCAGGTACCGAAATATCAGGTTTCGCAGCCGGTGCCCAGAGGGCCACGCTCAGGGTTAGCGGCGGCGCCCCTGTCGGGGGAAGCCGGGGCTCCCGCCTGCTGGCACAGGCCTGTGGACAGGGAGGTGGCGTGTGGGAATGTGGTGCGGTGACACCGATGTCTCAGGGACAGACGTGGCCTGCCCGAGGGCTCAGAACAGGAGGGGACCGCGACCAGCAAGGCACATCCAACCTCCCGCTTGCACGTGTTCTGCAGCCGAGCTGCTCTGCACGGCGACCATTGCTCCGCGCGGCAACCGTTGCTCTTCACGGCGACCGTTGCTCCGCGCGGCGACCGTCGCTCCAGCTTCAGGAGTTTGAACGTAACATTTGGAGGGCGGCGTTCTGGGACTCTGAGCTTTCTGCCCTCACTAAAGTGCGGTTACAAACCTGAAGCCAAGGTGGTCCTTTAACCTGTGACGTTGGGACCCTTTTGCCCCTCGGCCCAGCAGGGCAGGTGGGGAGCCACCTCTCCAGGGAGCGCGTGCCTACTGGGTGTGGGTCACTGTGGTGCATGGCCGCTGGGTCGCCCAGCGGACCAGGGAGAAGCCCAGGTGCGCTGTTCTAAGTCCTCTAAGGGGCCTACAAGTTCAGCAGACAGTTCTGGTCGTTTCGTGGGCAGCGCGGGCCTGGGGGGCCTCTTGAGAGATTTCGGCTGCTTTGTGCTCAAGTTCAAAGGACGCTTGTCTGCAGGCCCTCGGTCAGCACAGAGGACGCTGGGGTGGTCGCATCACGTGCGCCTGCACGAGTGTCGCACTGGGCGTGGGGTGCGTGGGCGGGGGTCCCGGGCCGGGCGGGGGAGGGGAGAGGGGCAAGTGCTGCACTCTCGCTCCTGCGTTTGACAAAGCAGCGCCTGGCTGGTTTCCAGGGGTCAGGGAAAGGCCAGTCTGTTTACACACCTTTGCCGGGGAGCTCGGAGGGCGGGGACGGCCCAGGATTAATGAGCAGAGTTGCTGGCTCGCCTGTCAGGAGGCTCCTGTGACATTGTTTTGGTATCAGGGCAAACACGACAGTTTAGGTTATAAATAGAAGAAAAGCGAGAGAAAAGGTGGCCTCGCCCCTTGCCATTGAGATTTCCCTTTCTTCTCAGCCAGCAGTGGGCCCCAGGGACCCCCTCCCCACCCCAGCGCCTTTCGGGGGGACAGGCCAGCCAGGGCTTCCACCCCAGCCCCGAGGAGGCCTGGCCAGGACGGTTGTAGAACTTGGACTGGGAGGGGGGTAGGACCTTTGGCAAGAAAGGTACTGCCCATCTCTTTCCTTTTCTTCTTTCTCTGCCTTAGTGCAAGCCAGTTTCTGCGTCGGGGTTAGCTGCAGCTGCGACTAGATGCACTGGAGCCCGAGTGGGCGGGAGGGATCCTGCCACACAAATCCAGGGATGCACAGCTCCCACCGAGGGGTGGGGCTGGAGCAGCTGTCCTGGGTAGGGATGGGGTGCAGACCCGAGGTCCTCAACACGGGGGCCGAGGGACCTCTGTGCCAGCTTGCCACTTACCGCCCACCTGTCACCTTGTCCTCTTGGCCTAGAAGATCCCAACCTTTCCTGCAAAGCCCTAGGAAGCGCTAGGTTGTCTCTTCGAATCACTGAGATAGCAGTGAGCTGAACTCCTTGCTCTGAGCCCTGCCTGTTTAGTGGGTGCTGCTCTGGGCCCTCGCCCCCCGCTTGCTGGACAGAAACATTGTGTCTCTCACCTGGGTAGGGGGCCCCTAATCTGAGGCGTGGTTCACAGAAAGCACACAGTAAGCCCTTTCTGTGTAACCACCCATGGTGGTTACTGTAAATGCATGTTGCTTTTCCTCTGCTATCGAGCGGGTGTGGTTCAGGGCCCAGGGCCAGTAAGCAGGCGAGAAGCCCCAACTGAAGGACAAAGTACTGAGACGGATGCCAAAGAACTCAGCTCGGGGGGGCGGGGGTGCTTTAGTTGTAGAGTCAGACAGAGCTGGTCCCAAATCCCAGCTCCACCATTCTATCTGTGCGACCTTGGGGAACACCCTTCACCTGTGCCACAGTTTCCTCATCTGTGAAATGGGGACAGTGCTGTCTGCCTCACAGAGTGGCCATGAGAAGCCCAGGAAATGATGCCTGCAGGGTGCGTGCACATGTGTACACACAGTAGTTGCTATCGGTAGTGTGGTGCCAGCTGCAGCTACGGCGCTGTGTTAGAGCTCAGATGTCTCTTAAAGGGGGGGGGCACTAAGAAATCACCCGATTACGCGGGGCGGTGGCTCACTGCACGGCTCTCGCTGCACACCTGCCCCTCACACAGCTCACAGCGGGGAGGGATGGATGGGGGACAGCGCTTACCTCTCTAGAACCTGCAGGACTTACCCCCGAACACACACACAAAATAATCCCAATTTTGGTAAGTTTTACTAACTGCATACTTGTCTTTTGACACGTGTGAAAATGCATGTGTGCATTTCAAGAGCTTCCTTGCTAAAGTTGCACCGATTTTTTTTAAACTCATGAGCTTTCCCCTTTCCAAACACAAGGCTGACATCAGAGAACATTTTTTGATCCAGTTTGAGAAACACACTGGGTGGTTCTGAGATGATGGGAATCCCAGGAGGCTGGTTGGCTCTTTCCTGCGTAATCGTCGAAAGGAATCTCTCCAACGTGCCCACGGTCGCAGGGGCACGATGCACTTTGGGTAACTCAAAGTTTAGAAACATTTAGGTGACTATGGTAAATAATTCACGCAAACCCTGACAAATGCAATTTATTCTTTTGTGCAATCACAAGGAAGAGCAGAAACTGGCTGGGCTTTTCTCTCCTTAGTTCCCAATCCTTTTAGCGACATCTAGCGGAGGATCTTTGAAAAATACCGCACTTGCTTCTGTGAGCTTCCTCCAAAGCTAAGGAAATCCAACTCACCAAGCAGCCATTGTAACCTGGGTTCCATGTAAGTGTCCATCTGTGTTTCAGTCTCCAAGTTAAAAGCACCACCGAGGCCAAACGGACCCTCTGTTGTTGGTGACTGCAGCGTGCTAGCAGGGACCTGCATTGCGGTGACCAGCAGCTCTGCATGTCAGTCTGGCTGTCACTTGCTAGCCATGCGATCACCTCTCGGCCTCAGTCTTCTCAGCTGTAAAACTTACCTGATAGTAGAACTGGCCCATGGGTTACTGTAAGGACCAAATGACGTGATGCCCGTAAAGGGCCGGCATGGTGTCTGCCACGCCGTGATTACCAGCTGCACGGTGGGGCTCGTCCATGCAAACAGGTGCTGGTGTCTATGAAGTGGTGTCATTTTAAGATGTGTCGTCTTGAAAAGATAATGGTGAGCTTGCTCTCTCCCTCCCTGTGCCCCTTCTCCCTTCCTCTCCCTATTTCCTCTTTTCAAACTCTAATCAAGAAATGGGAATACATAACCTGGACCCAGCAAAAGTCTTGGCAAAAGAAATTTGAAAGTCTTATTAGCACCTTATATTCAGAAGACATTTGGAAAAACCGTCTTTCGGGTTTGAGTTGGAAGTACCATGGTGGCCTTTTCATGGAGAAGCTTAGTTGTGCGAGGGTCTAGGGCCTTCTGTTTTGTCTTCGTTAGACACAGCCTGGAAGGGAAGAACGACCCTTTACATTCGCCGTGACATGCAGGGTGCTGCTTGTTTCCTCCGAGCTAAAGCCAGCGTTGGAAGCCTTCTAAGAGATGGAAGGCATCTTCTGTGTGTTTTAGGCAAATGCAGATTAAGGGGTAACTGCCCCTTGAAGCAGGAAGCGTCGCTGTTTTGCTGATATGTTCTAGCTATGCTGGCCTGGCTGGAACTTCCTAAACAATCTACGTCCCTCAACAGCCTGGGCAGGGAGAAGGCGGGTAAAGCTGGCAGCACATTCTGGGGGCCTTGGTGGTGGCAGCTTGCCCTTGTAAAACGCCTGGCACCTTTCTGCCAGGGCTTCTGTCCTGCGGGGGATGGCAGGGACAACACAGGATGTGAGGCTTCTGCAGGCCCATCCGGCAAGTGGCCAGGGTGCCCAGTCCAGCCACGAGCCAGACAGTCAGGAGGGGACAGCAGTAGGAGAGAGCTGGGCTCAGAGTCTGAAGCCTTGGGACCAGCCTGCCACCTGCCACCTGCATGGCTTTGGGTATATCCCCTCCCTCATCTGTGAAATGGGGATAACACTCCTGGCCCAAGGGTCGTAAGATTGAAAGGAGAAACTTGACAAGAATTTGCTCTACAAAGCACTGGGTGGGGGCCAGAGATGGTGCCCGCCTGCCCGCCCAGGCCACCGCAGAGCCTCCCCGGGGTGGGCCGCCTGCCCCCACCTCCTGTGACTAGAGAGGCCGACTCGGGACCCACGACTCACAGGCAGAATAACTGGAAATGCCAGTCGCAGCAACAGTTTAACATTTTACTAAATCAATTCACACAAATTCCAAATTGCAAATATAATTAAGGACAACAGCTTCTGCTTTACCTTTTAAATCTTTCATTTTCAAATCCATCATTAAGACAAAAGTAAACAAAAATTAGGTCTGTTGCAAATTCATGATTTTTCTTCCGAGGAAACAAAAAAGGACATTAGAGTAAAAAGAACGCCACTGGGTGTACGATAAAGCACCACACACATGATTACAGACGGGCTTCCTGGCTTCTGCGACACATAAAAGACACTGTTCTCTCCACTGCTGTGCGTCAATCAGGATTCCATTAAAATAAAACTATAAAATCTCCTAGGTTACGCTAAGTCAGACACGGTCTGGAACACAGTGCTCAACAACAGTAATGCCAACTATCAGTGCTAACGTAAAACATTTTAGAAGGTCAAAAACAATTAAACTGGAAACCAAAACCTTATTTTCCCTAGATGAGCAAAATTGAAAATGAAAGGGTTCTCGCCTCCCAGTAGGAGTGAGGGGGCCTTTTTTTTTCCTTTTTTTCTTTCGAGTTGGAGGCGGGGGACGCGCGGGGGCTGGCTCTGGGTTCCTCGGCCTAGTTGGCGTCCAGCTTGGCCATTTCCTGCACGTAGATGCCTATACTCTCGCTGTCGAAGAGCACAAAGTACACCGTCTTGATGGAAGAGGACATCGTGGACACAAAGTAGCTGGAGATGGCCTTCAGGATCAGCTGAGCTGCCGTCTGCTTCGGAAAACCGTTCCTGCGGGAGAGAAGGCAAGCTCTGAGCGCGGGGCCACCACGGTGGTCACGGAACCTGCCCTGTCCCCGGGCAGCCCCCCTCGCAGGAAGCCCTGGAGGCTGTGTGCGCCGCAGTGGCCTCCTGCTGGGTCACAGCATGCCCTGAGCCCTGCGGCTGCTGGTCCACCAGTGTGAGAAAGCCCAGTGCCCGGCGACGGGGGCCAGACACCAGGCAGAGAGCCTCGACCCTGTGTGTGCCTTCACACAAGAAGGCGTCCAGGAAGTTCTCTGAAGGACAACCAGCCAGCAGGCGGGACAGCGTCCTGCAGGGTGTGTTGGGCCCCCAAGTGCGGCACAGAGACCTGCGTTTCTCTTCCCATCATCCCTGCAGCCCGCACAGAGCGTGAGCCACAGCCCAGACTCTCTGTGCTCCAGCGCGAGTCACCCCGGGCCTAGCTGGAGGTTCCCTGGGAAGGCCCTGACCTCCGTCCCTCGAGCAGAAGGGTTGTGCCCTTCACACTGGCCTCTAGAGTCCACAGGTGCGGGGGCTGCTGCCTGGAATCTACCCCCCAATATACACCAGCTCCCGTCCCACCCCACAGGCCAGGCTGTCGGGAGCCGTGGTGCTGGGGAGGAACTCTGGGCCGAGTGGGCTGTTCAACGAGGTGATGTCACCAAGTCTCCAAGCCAGTTGTGTTTGGATTCACACACGTTTCTGTCTAAAGCAAATGCCACGCGGCAGTTTTTGGAATTAGGTGCTCAGAAGTTAAGAGTCTGCAGTCACGCCTGGGAGGACTGGCGCTGCTCCCGGGCCACGCCGAGGGTGGCCGCCTGCCTGGCTGGTGGAAACAGCCTGGAATCGAACCCCTACTGACCCCATTTTACAGGTAAGAATGCCGGGGGGGTGACGTTTGGGGCCAGTGATCACGTGAACTTCTCTGTTCACTGGCAGATCGAGTTGTCACTCTGCCTGAGCAGGATGGGTTGGCATCCACGGTGCTGGGCCAGCTGCCTATGCTGGCTGGTCCTCGCCTCTGGGTGGGGATCTGCCGCCACGCGGAGAGGTTTCCAGACAGGTAGAGTGGGGACTTCTTTCTCTGTGCCCCGAGTTCTGAGCCACCTGGCTGGGCCATTGGAGACCCCAGACGCGGCCGCTGTTGTCAGAGCCCAGAGCATCCCGTGGCAACGGAAGAAACTGTTCCTGTGACTCGATTTTGATCAAACGTGGCTTTACCCAGCTTCATGGTGGCGACCTAGGGACTGCTGGATGTTTCAGGAATGGAGCTCATTCTTAGAGGACAAGGGTGTCCCCCTAGGGCATGTGCCCAGCCTGTGGAAAGTGGGGTGCACCCCAGATTCGGGGCTCCTTCACATACAGGCGGTGCAGCCCAGGCACGTGGCCCTGCCGCTGCTGGCAACAGGGCGCTCTGGCTGGGAGGGTGGCGTCAGACACGCACAGCTTCCCCCAAAGAGAGCCTGGTGGCTCCAGACCACCAGGTGAGCCAGGTTGGAGGGTGGCAGGGACAGTGAAGGGACAGGGCTCTCAGGGCATGGGCAGACAGCTCCCCAGCACCAGGGCCCACAGCTGGCACAGCTGTCCTGACTCTCTTCCCAGGAGTCGAGCAGCACAGAGGCTGGGTTATCTGGAACGAGACACACGTTGGGAAGGACTGAGGTGGTAAACTCGACCTTCTGCTTTTGGGAGGCATCTACCCAGCGCTGCAGGCTGCTTCCTACTGCGGACCGGGCTCCCAGGGCCTGCTGCAGCCTGCACATGAACCAAAGGGACTCCAAGGGCTGCTAGAACGAGCAGAGCCCTGTCTGTAGACGTGACCTGGATGCTTGGGGCGGAGAAAGGCTGTGAAGCCCCGCAAAGGAGGACACCTGTCTCAGGCTCACACCTGCACAGGTGAGCACCTGTGGAACTGCCACACATGGCAGTCTGTCATGTGGCCTGATGGTCACAGCCCATCTCCAGCTGTGCCTGCCCCATGGGGCAGGGCTTCTGGAGCTGCCCTAATCCCATCCTGCAGCTGGTCTGTGCAGGCCACTGCATTGGGACACTTAGGGACGTCCAGCTCAAGCTGGGTGGGATGTGTCCTGGTGCAGACGTATGGTGCGTGGCCCTGGCCCTGCTGACTGGGAGGCCCCAAGGGGTCTCCCTGGAGCACCAGAAGTTTGCCAATCCCTCCTGCCTGTGCTGGCACAGACCTGCCCCCGTGGCTTTGCAGGCCTCTGCCTTGGACCTTGGAGAAAGGGTATGTGACTGTCGGGGTGCGGGGCAGAAAGTCCTGTTACTCTACTTCAGTAGTTGTCAAACTTTTGAGTCTGCGTCAGAATCCTGGAGGGCTTGTCAAAACACGGACAGCTGGGCTCCACCCGGAGCTGCTGACTCAACAGGGGCTAGAGCCCACTCTTCAGAAACCACCGTTCTGTATGTAGGCTGGGACCCAAGCTCGTGGGCTGGGCCTAAAGGTTAGGGATCCGCAAGTGAGGGAGACAGGTAGAGGTCAAAGGTTTTAGACCTGCGGTGACCACACCTGCATGCCCTCCTGTTAGACAGAGTGGGCTCTTCTCCTGCCAGAGGTGCCTGGCCTTGTCCTTCTAGGTCGCTGGTGGGTGGACACAACTCTGGATATGTTCCTAGGAAAACCCTCTGTTGACAAGCCCGCCTCTCTGTCCTAGGAAGCCCCAGCCTGTGGAAGAAACCCTCCCCACCCCCGTGGGATTGTGGCTCGTCCGGACCACGCATGCGTCCAGGAGGGACCGAGGAAGGTAATTGCTCCCCTGATGTTTTCAAGTAGGGCCCCAAAGTGGTGTCTAGTTGTCACAGTTAGAAAGTTTGTAACGAAATGGAGCGTGTAAGCAGACGCCCTCACGGGGGCTTCCCACGCAGCGCTGCATGCTCCAGCAGGGCAGCCGCAGCACACGCAGGCCCAAGCAGGCCCGTCCCCTGCGCGGTGGAGGAGCAGAGCGGCGAGCGCGCTGGACAAGACTGGGCACGATAAGCACCAGGGCGTGGCACATGGAGTCCTCACCCAAGAGCAGCTACCCATAAAGCGGGTGGTCTCAAGGGTCTTTCTAAAGGCTTGTGCAGTGGAAAACTGCCTCCCCGTCCCCACGACAGCTGTCACTGGGTGACTGCTATTGTCACTGTAGTTACACTGTGCTAACAAGGTTGGCCTCAAGCTCTGGAGGGCTGCTGGCCACAACCGTGGGCACACGTGGCGGGGTGGCACCCAGCTCTGGTGCAGTGCTGCTGGCACCTTGCTCCTCTGGGCTCGCCTGCTGGCGGCATGACGGCGGCCCTCTGAACAGCCATTCCTGCCTGGCCCCGTCTGTGCCTTCTGCCGTATCTCAGATCTGCTGCCTCTGTGACCGTCACCATGCCCCGCAGCTGGCCTGTTGTTAGGCTTCTGCTCTAGAGTCAGATTTGTGTTCGAATTCCTGCCGCCTTTGGGCAGGGGCGTGACTTCTCTCAGCTTTAGCTGCTACTGCTGGAACTGTGCACAGGTGCCCCAGGGGTACACGTGGGGGGAGGAGGTTGCTTTGCTGCCCTCAGTCCCCACGCCTCGACACGTGGGTGCTCTTGTGTTTCCACTGTTACCGTGCCTATGGGTGTCTGTATGCCACATGTTTCCCACCCCGCGGGACTGGGACCTTGGCCGCCATAACCCCCTTCTCGGGCCTTCCTGTCAGTCCGGTTGCATTGGTCATAGCCTTTCCCATGCGACCTGGGCCTCAGTTTCCCTAGGCTGGTGCCTCTTCGGTGAGCCCACACACATTGGACACTCGATGTGCACAGGTTGTGGGTTCACATGCCAGAAAAGGGTGCAGTTCCTCCAGCTCTGCCCCACTGCTGCGACAGACGCGGAGGTGGACTCTGGCTTTCCTGCTGGGCCAGTCCCCCAGTCTAATTGTCTCTGCTGTCAGGGAACATGCCTGTCACTGTGTGTGGACACTCTTCCCTAAGGTTAGGCCCCCCTTGCACTGTGTTGCCAGCTGCTCCTTTGTCACTTTTCCACGTTCTGTCTGGCTTTTGAGACTCTGCCTCTCTGAAGTTGCCCGAGGCCCGTCGATCAGAAGACCAGACCCCTGGGATCCTCAGCCGAGGGCACCGGTATACGAGAGGTGAGTGTGCAGAAGGGGCACTCCGGTCTCACTGCAGGGCTCCCAGGCTCTGTGGCCGCTGTCTGGGGAATCGGGGAATGCCCTGGCAGTATTTCCAAGGTTCGCTGGAACTTCTCTGTACACAGAGTGCAGGGGCCACCCTGTGGTGGGATGCAAGCAGGTAAGGGTGGGGTTCCTTGTGCCTCATGTCAAACTCTGCAGGCAGGAGCCTCAACTGTGTGGCCGCAAGGGGGTTACTTAACCTCCAAGCTTCAGTCTCTGCCTTTGAGAGAGGCAGTGACAATGGTCACCTCTCAGGGCTGCTGATGCGGGGTGTAGCGCAGTGCCTGGGGCCCGAGGAATACCCACCCATGGAAGCTTGGAAGAACCTAGCTTTCCTTTCAAGCTCATAAATCTAAGGAAAGTTTAATCAAAACCCCAAACTAGCTATCCTGCCCCTCTGACTGAGGGTCACTTTCCTAATGTCAAACAGAGCTGAGAGCATATCCATAAATACTGTGACCAGAGGGCCGAGGACAGTGCGTCCAGATGGCAGAGGTGGCTTTGCGAGGCCAGGGTCAGGCGGTGAGGGCTCCGGCCGGGCTGACGGGCACTGTCGCACAGGTGGGGTGGCGGTCACCCTCTCGAGGCCTGGGCCGCAGCTCAGCACGTGATCCGTGGCCGTTGACCAGTGTTTGCGTGTATATTGTTCTAATTCCGACACGACTTTCATGCCAGAGACACTGGACGCCACAAACAAGCCATTTTATTTACCCTCTTAAAACCCACTGTGATTCACGGCCGGCTCTGGTGTAATCCCATTTTGACTCATGAAAGCGAGGGCAGCTGTTTACACAGCTCTGCGGGGCCAGGTCTGCCCGGCAGATGTGGCCGGGAGCCGCACACATGTGCCGCCTTCGGCGTTTCACCCCCTTTAAAGCTTTCAATTGATTATTTTTTAAAACTTTTGACTCCATGAAAAATGTAAATAAGTTTGTAATAACAGATGCTCTTTTATAGGAATTACTTTTATGCTTCAATTAAAAATTTCCCAATAGTCATATGAAAGGGTGTGAAATTATTACCTCCAATAAAGTTTCCTATTGCCTCCCTCTTCGGAAGCACCTTTCATCAGAGCAGATCAAAGTGCATCCGAAGCACTAATTAACTGAGCCTCGGAGCCATCTGTGAGGAAGGGCAGGCCCTACAGCCTTGCTTGATAAGGCAGGCCAGGCAGAGAGAGGCTGATTCATTTACCAAAGGTCACACAGCACCAAAGACAAGACCTTCTAAAAGAGGTGAGGGGATAGGAAGGCAGGAGAAGCAGGGAGTAGGGCTACTTAAACTCCGATCGAAAGCACTTTGGGACAGGCCCTGGGACCTACAGGGAGAATTCAGTCTGCTTGTCTTTGCATGTCCTGTTATCTTTTGCTTTCAACATGCATTTAAATGGTGTTAACTTTTAAAATGATGCTCTTTCCAAGAGACTAGCATGAAGCATACTAACTGAACACATAGATGGCAGTCAAGACTCCGTCAGCCAGGCACAGGAACCCTCTCCCCCACACTGTGGGGACACGGCTGGGGGAGGTAAGCGCTCAGCCTCCTGAGGGCTTGCCAGGGCAATGCTCGTTCCGCCGCTTTGGCCATGAGGAGGCTCCACAGGACAAGGTTCAGGTGTAATCAGAGATCTCTTCCCGTATTTGGGTCCTGCCAGTCACATGTGACCTCCCCAGCCACAGCAAGCCTTGGAGTATGGTGGCAGGGTCTGTGGGCGAGGCCTTCTGCCAGGAACAGTGTCAAATGAGGAGGGAGGAAGCCCACGTGCTAGCTCGGTCCTGGCAGTGTTCAGGAGGCAGAACTACGGGGCCTGGAGAAAGCAGCTTTCTATAAACATACGGCACAAGGCTGAGGGCTGCTGCTGCCACACAGCCCTCCCTTTCTCCTGATGGGCAGAGACCCCGAAAGACTCATGAGCTCAGACAGGAAGCCCCGGGAGCAGCAGGTACTCTGTCCCAACCAAGCCCGCCTTGGGCCCAAGATGCTACCAGCTGCAGCCTCTAACGGCCAGTTTCCCTTTCCTTCAGGGCCCAGTCCAGACCCTGAACCTTCCAACGGCCTTCGACTCAGCCCCTGGTGATGCGACGGACACGGTCTCAGCGGTGGCGCTGCTCTGCATGGCGGCACAGAGGTCTCAGAGCGACCCAGAGACGCCGCATGGTTTAATTCACGCCCCACTACTCGGGTCCTGGCTCGGCCAGTAACCAACTAACTCCAGACCTGGTCCCCCAGCCAGAGTGCAACGCTGCTCCAACAGGCAGCTGCGTGCTGGCATCTGGGGCACAAAACGAGGGGGGTTGCGGCCAAGTCCTACCTGCATCGTCAGCTGTCAAAGGACTACACTCCTCCAGTGGTAGCCATCAGTCTTAGGGGCAGCTGTGCTGCTCCTACAGCCCTGGGTGAGTCTACCTGGGGGTATTTCAGGGACAGGAGGTGGGTAGGGCCCAGCCCTGCCCTGTTCAGTTCCGCCAGGCCCATCACCACATAGGGAGGCCCTGGATAGAAAGGTGAGGGGTAGAGTGCTCTGATCAAAAAATTTTGTGGTTTGGGGACAGAACCAGAACAGAGTTGCAGGCTTATTCTGGGATGGCCGTGCTATCAGTGTATCTGCATCCACACCTCGCCATCCAAGGCTCAGTGCCCCTCAAAAAGCACTGAGGCCCCAGGCCATCACACTGTGATGACATCAGAGGTTTTCTATTGCCCTTGGGCCTCCCTCTCTCATCGCTTTCAGCATTGTTGAATGTGCATGTCCTTCCTTATTCCAAGCTTCTGGTCGTCTTGGCAAAGGCAGACACAGGGCCTTGCAGAGCTCGGGCTCCGCAGCTGGGGGCCAGCATGCCGAGAAACAGCCACGCCCGACAGCACCTGCCCTTACCTGCCACTGCCGATGGATGGAAAGGCGATGGATTTCAGCTTCTTGTCGTCGGCCAGAGCCAAGCAGTTTTTCACCGTCTTTTCCAGAAGTTCCTCACACTTGTCTGCGCCCCAGACTGGGCTGTTACAGTGGATCACAAACTTGGCGGGGAGGCCATGGCCTGCACTGACGGCAGCTGAAGGGGACAAGACAAACTGTGAGCTCTATTCCTCAGCAAGGCACAAGATGCCAGACACAGACCCTCCTTCCTTCTATGGTACCTTTTACTGTGCTAGTGGCCTGTGTCCAGGGAGGAGACCAGCTTCCTGCTGTGCTCGAAGTCCAATGCCAACTTGAGCTGGAAACTGTGCATCATCTAGAGGGGCAGCCAAGCCCCACCCTGGGGAAGTTGGCATTAGGATGCGTCACCCCCAGGAACTTCACCCAGGACCGCAGTGAGCCCTCAGTGTCTCCAGGAAGCAGCACCCTTGACTGAATGTGTTGGAATGCTCGCAGCCTCACACTAACTGCCTTTATGGGTCTCCGACCCCCTTTCTTCAAGTGGATCTGTGTGCAAATAACCATGGTGTGTCTCTAAAGCTCCCAGACCCAATTCAGGACAAAGCTATTAGCTGCTCCTTTCTTAGGAAAGACCAGCATCTGCTGCAGTCATCTCCCTGCTGGGGTGGCCTCACCGTGTGACTAACTTTATTTTTATCAAACTATTTTCCTTTCCTAGAAGAGGAGCCGTTTTCCAGCTACATACACACATCCCCGGAGGACCTGCCTTTCCGTTGTCAGACCTGATGCGAGCCTCAGGTCTGCCACGCACCTGCTAGATGTTTACTGGAGAAGCTTCCAGAATCCCTCACTAGGTTGCTCTGCAGGGAAGAAGGTTCTGGACCCTGGGTGTGGCAGAGTCTCCACAGCACTGCCACAGTAGGACACCCCAGCCTTTTTCGAGCAGCACCATCCAAGGGGTATGGGTTGTTAAGGTCATGTCAGTAGGAGATGCTGGAGGAGCAGTGATTTGTGGGTAGTGTCTCATGATACAGTAGGGACAGCTCTGAACTGGGTTTGCATGCTCGTGTGAGATGTGCCTCCCTAAACCTTGTTCTGACATGGGAAAGAAAAAGCCAAAGAAACCTGAGATCGGGGAGTTAAATCCAGTGTTTTGTCCACAATAGAAGTCTCACTCCTAAACTATGCATGGAAAAAGACTGGAAAGAACCATGTTAACAGTGATTATCTTTGGGCAGTGGAGCCAGGGTTGTGTTTTACTCTCATTTTTCTACTTTTTAAAATATTTTAGAACATTTTCTAAAATAGCTCTTAAAATCAAGAATAAAACATATTAAAACAAGCACAAATATCTTGAACCATGTTCAATCTAAGGGGCTTGCATCGACCTGGGTGCTCAGGGGCACCAGGGGGCTGAGGCTGGAACGCTGGGGGGAGGCCAGCTGCCTCTGGCTGGGTAGTTAACATTGTGTCCTCCCTTGTACAATGTAGGACTTTGGTGGAACTGCCTGGAAGAACTTAATTAGTGTCCCCAATGTTGCAGGCAACACAGTAGTGCCAGAGCAGAGGTTAAAGGTACAGGTCAGTAAAGGGACTTGCTACTGGCCCTGAGACCAGCCTGGCACGGAGGGTCTGGGGGACCCTCAGAGAGGGCTCATGTGGAAATTACCGATGTCCAAGTGTAGTTAAGATTTAGTTTTAAAATGGAAACAGGATTTGAAAGACAGAATGGGCATCAGGGATCAAGAAGAGAAAACTGGAGCCCAAAGTGAGCAAAGGGGCGGCCTGTCCTCCCTCAGCTGCTGGGGAGCTGGGCCTCCATCCTGCACCCTGCTGACCACTTACAGTCCCCAAACTCAGGCCTCCAGGTCGTCCTCTTCCCCTCATACCAGGAAATGAGAAATGCATATTTATGTTTCCCATTAGAAACACAGACGGCTCAGTTTTACTATCTATAATTCTCAGCTCTCAGATTTGCCCAACTCAGCTTCTATAATTCCTTCAAATTTGAGGTCTAGACATCAAACATATAGGAACTATTTAAGGTAATAAAAAAAATTGCAGAGGTGATTTTCATGACTCTTAAGGCCCCTGGCAACCTGCAGGTGATAAAATTCTGAGTTGTGAAGCTGCGGCTTTCCCATGGTGGCGCACTTCCGAATCCTAAGCTCAAGAACCTGCTTTTCTGATTCTGCACTCACCACACCACACCCAGACCAGCACAGCCACTTCCCCACCTCACCTCCAGCCACTTCCAAGGGCCCATTCTTTTTCCGGAGTTCCAGAACAGCTTCCACAAACTCCTTGCCACCTTTCTTCTCCAGCGTGTTTCCTAGGCAGGACAGGGAGGGGTCAGAGGGCCATCCCATGTCTCTGGTGCGCGCACACACACACTTACATGTCAGGTGATTACATACTTCAAATGATCTGACCAGCTAAACTTCCCGAAGGCTGCAAAACAGGAACTGAGCCCTGGCTGAGTCAGTGAAGTGAGACTGAGAGGGGGTCCATCACCGGCCGGGTTCCACCCAGCACTGCCGCGTCACCTAAGCTGTCCTTGCCGCCCCCTCGCTTGGCTCTGGCTCAGGGTGATCCTGGATATGCCAGAGAAGGAAAGAAGACAGGAGGTGCCTATTCTTTGTGCACACAGCTGTTCTGCATGCCTTTCATTGGCATGAGAAACCAGCTGGTACTGGCTTCCAGGGATAATTGCCTGCCCCGGGTTTTCTTCTGTTTCTGTGGAGAAGCCCCAAATAAGGAGGTTTAGAAGCAGCATGCCCTGCTCCATCCTACAGCCAGCTCTGCCCTTGGCAGCAGGCCCGGGAGAGAGTGCTCATGTCTGGCTACCTCCGGACCAGCATTATTGCCATGCTTAGCTCCCGTTTTGCAGCCTTGGCATCATATGCAAATACAAAAAAAAAAAAAAATGGCCTCAGACAGAATTTTCTTAAGTACACTAATGATTCAGAATCATTTTAGGTTAAGGAGGGCAACATCAGAAGCAGAGCTTAAAGATTAACTTGCATTCTATAAAAACTTGGAAAGAAGGATGTCTAACTGCTCAGGGCCAGATCTTTTAAAAAATCCAATTAAGGGCGGGAGCACTGTTCTCCCAAATCAGGGTACTTGCTAAGTGACCAATTCCTGCAGTGAAAGCCATGCTTCCAAACAAGACCTCCAGCACCTGTTAGGACTTTGAGTCAAATCTCACATGGGACTGCAAGCAGCTGTCAAAGTTAGTGACAGTGTCATCCTTTAAAGTTTGGCCAGAATGGTGTCTGATTCTTCCTTAAGCTCTGATTCCTCCGTTTTGCACATTTTAAAGTACTTCTCACAAGAGGATAAAATACTCCCCTTAAGATTCATCATTTGTCTTGGAAAATTCCAGGTGCACCTGGCACAGTCCTGGCACTGGGTGGTCAAGGTATATGGAATACACCAGCCCAGATTCTCCTTGGATTTGCCCTGTAACGACCAGGATGAATTGAAACCTGCCTCATTCGCACGTCTGTTCTGCAGGGGTGAGCTGACCCCAGGAAACGTTTGGAAGACAAGTAAACAGCCCTGGCGCTGTCCCAGATAATGGCAGGGACTGGGCGTGTAACCACCCACTTCAAGGAGTCTCGAGTGCATGAATGTGACAAGCAGCCCATCACCCAGGGGAGCTCTCAGCTGTCTAAGAGAGCTGGGCTTTCAAAGAGACATAAACTTAAAATCCTGGAGGTGGGACCCTGTGTCGCTCCTCATGAGCTCGGACTGGCCTCTGCCTTTGTCCTGAAAAGCAGCACAAACTACAAAGGGCAGAGGATTCAGAATGTCACGTGCAGAGACATCCACCTGTTGCCACCGCATGTTTCTGATAGTGAGCAGAGGTGGCAGTTGAATGGGCCGTGTACTCGAGGGAGCAGGTGCGGGGCCTCGGAGCCCAACTCCTCCACCAAAAAGTGGACATAACCCAGGTGAGCAAGACCCCAGTAGAGGTTCACCTGAACTATCCATGCAGCTAAGAAAAGAGAATGTGGAGTGTGAATCAGCTGGATTCTACACACCTAGTCTTCCCTCTAAACCCATTCTCAAGCTTCAGGGAGAGAAACTAGTATGCCAGAGGCTGGACTAGTTATCAAGGTTTTCATTCTCTGTCAAATTAACTCTTTGGTGAGAACTGGGAAATTTGGAAAATAAAAGCAGTACTGTAATAATTAAGACTGCCAACTCCTTCCTAAAACATAAAATATTTAAGAAAATGGGCTGATTTATAATTGAAGGTGTTTTATCTTAGGAAGAGTGTTTACTTTAAAAATTTTTACTTATCATTAAATATTGCTTTAATTAAAAGTGAAATTTGCAAGTTAAAATATACTTAATGCATTTCCCAAACTTAAAAACTGAACCCTAGATTGCAGGCAATCAACCCAGTCAGGACTTGACTCCTACACACACATACGTATGCACATGTTCATGTAGACACACGTGTACTTTTTAACAAGAAACAGGCCCATTTTCAACCATATTGTCAACACTCTTAATGTAAGACTCTTGCTTTTGAGGCTTAACTTCAGGGTTAATCATAAAGCAATTGGCTTATTTGCCCCCCAGCATAAACATGTGTTACTCCCATGAGAACAAGAACATTATTTCATGCTTAGAAAGCAGGCATAAGTATCAGTGTTCAAAACAGCCTAAGCGAAAATTTAGGCTTGGACAAATGTCAGGCTAAGCCTGTGGTCTATTTCACTGTTAGAAAGAACTTTTGATGGGTAAAAGTTAATCACTGGGGCTAAGCATTCCTGCACTCGGATTCCTTCTTCCAGCAGTCTCGGGACTCAGGAATTCACACCAAATATGAGAAATGGAGTGATTACTAGCTTCCTCTTTCCCCCTCTCGCACATCAAAGTGGGAGCTGGAATCAATTCAGGCCATGCAGGAATCTGGTTTGTCACTGTTTGGGATTGTAAAAGATATCTGGGGTCAGTACTGGTTTGGACTGGTCTGCTGGGCAGAAAGGCACGCAAGGCTTCGGGAGACTGAGTTCTGGCCTGGCACAGTCCCTGCTCCGTGGGCCACTCGTGATGTCTGGACCTGCTGAGGTCTCTTTCCAGCTGTGACAGTGTCAGGGAGTGATGTGTGGCATGGCCTTGGGCAAGCTCTTGGGCCCAGGTGTTTGTATGCACAGAGGTGAATCATCCCTGCCCTACGGGTCGGGGGGCAAGCACATCAGAGGAAGAGCGTCAGCACCGCCACTGTCATTACGCTAATGACACCGTGTCATTCACAGCGCAGGCAGGAGAGGGTGCTTCTGGGTGGCACAGCTGGCTCTGCCGGTGACTCCCTGGTTGCAGCCCCATCTCCCACCCTACAGTCTGCCTCCTGGCGTAGCTGATCCTGCTAAGCAGGTAGCGCCCACCGGCTGTAGCAGGTGAGCCAACTTGCTCCTCTCCCTAGACCTGGGAGAGACACTTTTGCCCATAAGTTACATAATTTTCATTCCACCCAATGTCCTGGAAGTCAGGATGAACCCAGGCCTTAGTCACGCCCAGCTAAAAGGAAGACAAGCCCTTAGCTGTTCATTTACTTTTCTCTAAATTAGAAGTTCCCTCCCATCCAGTTTTCATTTAGTTAAAAAAGGAAGCATCTTTCTCTTAAGCTGCCTGACTTAGGAGCTCTTAAACTCCTCCAAATTCTTGTGAAAGGCGCGTTTAATTGCCTACAGCCTGATTTCATTTTGGCCTGGCAGGCTTGGCGGACCCTGACTTTCTATCCAGTTTGTCTTTCCATCCATGTCCGAAATCCAAAATTCCCAGGAGGGCAATTAGTACAAATCACGGTGGCTGGGGAAGACTGAACGGCAGTCTTTGCTAGTGATGCTGAACAGCCACAGCCTGGGAGCGGCTGCGCACCCAGTGTCTGGGACCCCCATGAAAATCCTGATCCCCTCATCCTGCAAGATGAATTCACTGCACGCTTACTAGGAATGTAGCCATCACATCTACTATAAATATCACATATGCGCATGAGAATGAGACCACACGGGAGGCACCAAACATGAGCCAGGCTTCACAAAACAAGGTGCTTCGCTCACATCTTATGTAATTCTCATTATTATTATTTTATAGATAGGGAAACTGAAGCACTGAGGAGTTAAGTGACTTGCCCAGGACCCATAACCAGTAAATGGTGAGGCTACAATTCAAGTTCTTCCTACTTAGCTCCAAAGCTGTGCTTCCTTCTATCACATGCAGGTTCCTCGCTTTCTGCATCTAAGAGTGTTTCTCAAGAGTGGCCCAAGGACACGACATCAGAACGAGGTGACTTTCATGCACCTAGAGTCTCAGGACCCTGGTGTAGGAGAGCATGTATAGAGGGTCCTCCACGTGCACCCCTTGAGGCTTTAAAGCCATTTTCAGGAGCAAGTGTGCTTCTGACATGAGACCGGTGAGCGCGTGTTCGGGGGAGACCTGTGCACAAGCACTTGTGTCTGTTCTTCAGAGGGCACAAAAGCGCTTGGATGCCACTTGGCCCATCTGACTGCATCATCCCTGCAGTTACAACCGTCTGCGAGCCCAGTCTCCACCAAAGCCGTGCCTCACGCAGCAAGGGAAGACATGCTGCTGCAGAACCAGCTTCCAAACCAGAAGTGCCCGCCTGTGAGCTGCATGACACATGCTACCTGACAGCTGGCTTTAGTTCGTGGGTTCACAACCCAGGGACAGGAGACATTGGGAAGGTCGGGACAGCTGGAAGTGTGAACTGAATGCAGCCCTGCGTAGCTGTCAAAGGATCAAGCTGTCTGCGGCGGCCGACTGACCATGCACACACACACTCGGCAGCACCCGGCTAGGCATTACCTACTTCACCACCGATGTAGAAGTCAGTGTTTGTCGGGTGAACGACAGCATCACTGTCGATCGAGGCAATGTCAGCCTGTACAACTTGCAACTATAACAGGTAAACAAATGTAGATCAACTGTGTTGGACCGAGACCCACGCACAGGCACATTTACTAACGCCCCAGTGGCGGGGCTGGCCTACCTGGTCGATTCCAACATATGAGCCAAAGGGGGCAACCAGTCCACGCAGTGTGCCCACATGTGGATGGGGGTGAGGACGGGAGGAGGAGGAGGAGGAATATCAAATGTGACATGTTTAAATTAAACATTTGAATGACAAGTCCAAAAAAAGAGAAACACACACATGAGATCATTTCCAAAGGTTAAAAGAAATAACAAAATGAATGCCCCGCTTTACTTCGCAAAAGCCTCTAAAACTGGCATCCCACTGAGAAGGCTACTAAAACATGGCATCTGTTAAAAAAAAAAAAACAACAAAAAAGTGGACCATCAGGCCAACCAAAACAACAAGTTTCTCCATTTTGTCTGCAGCAGTCAACTTGCAGGCTTTGATTTTTACTCTTTTGACATTCACCATTTGGTCTACCTTCACGGGGAATCTCTTGAAAACAAGGCAGATATATATAGAGGGTTGCCTTTATCATTCCCCTTAATGTCTGGAAATATTTTTCCTGGCCTATTTCTCTAGCCAATCGTATTTTTATGTATTTTAATAAAAATGTACTTTGGGTAGCATCCTTGCTTTTTCTAGCTTGTGGCCTTTCTCTTTTCTAAAGAGTATCTGTACAAGGCAGTTGACACGCTCGAGCAGGGCATTCTTGAGCCTCACTTCTGCTGTTGTCAGCCCACGGTTGTACCAGTGTGTGGGGGTCAGGCCTGGGCTCTGGAATGAGTGTCTCTCGCAGTAAAGGAATCTGCCCTCTTACAAAATCAGCCAAAGCTGGGAGCTAAAGGCACACAACGGATGCTATGGTCATGGTTAGGGATAAGGCTGCCTCTGTGGGCATTTGTGTAGCCTATTTCCCCTGGCAAGGCTCTACACCTAAGAGGACAGGGCCCTTTATCGTGCCCCTGAGCTGACAGTTCCTCATACGCAAAGATAAAGCCGCAGCGGTAGGACACTGAGGGGTACCGCTCAGCTTGCCCTGAACTGAGCAGACAGACACTACACCTCTGGGGCAATTTTCCTCCATAAGAACTTGAGCAGAAAGAGATGTTTTATGTTTAATATCATCCTTCTGTTTAATATCATCCTCTAGCCAAATAATTCATGAAGGTGGCATATACTGTTCTCAGTTCTAGAAAAAGCTGAAGCAGGGACAGGTGGTAAATTTGGGAGACACCAATTTGCGTGTGCATTAAAGACACGTTTATGGCACACTGACATGGCTGGTCTTCCTTTTCACGCTTCAAGCATCATTTCTGATTAAGGCTTAAATGGAGAAACTATCATTTTGTAGTTACCTGAGATTCTTTTCAAACCAAACACGTGTTTAAAAATCCCCCCCAAATAACCAGCAGTCAGTTTGATCGTTATGGAAGAGAATTTAGATGCAATGTATTTGCAATTGAGGGAAAGTAGCCAATCACACTTAATGCAGCCGAATGAGGCCACTGCCATTTGGAATGGCTTAGAGAGAGCAGATAAGCAGTGTCTACACTCGAATGTCAATCTTGGATTTGGGAATCTGGCTTGACCACTCTGAAGTCTGGGAAGAGGAAAACCCTAAATTCTGGGTTCCATAACTTTTCATCTGACAGCTGGTGGCACCGAACCCCATCCCCAATTACCTAGGTCATCTTTAAGGTCAATGTCAGCATTGGTAGGATTGATTATGGCCTCCACCTCAAAGCCGGCTAAATTACTGATTTCACTGTGAATAAGGTTCAGCTGAAAAGAAAAGCACGGGGTGGGAAATAACAGGAGAGCCGGGAAGTCTCAGAGAAGGGAGCCTTGGGATGCAGGCGAAGGGCAGTGGACACTCCAAGTGCACTGGACCCAAAGGGAGACAGGGAGTCACTAGCTATAACGAACCCACTTCAAACTAAGTCTCAGTGCTGCCTGGGACGCAGAAGGAAGCAAACTAGGCTCAGTGCTCAGAACCCTGGGTGATGCTTGTGGCCAAAGGGAAGCATAGCCACATGGGACTGGGGAGACTAGCTCTCCCTTAAAGGAGACTGCGGCTTGGGGGCCAGAGTAAAGCAGCCGTCAGGAACCAGAGGACTCACTGCTAGGGGTGGGGAGGTTGCATGTGTGACTAAGGTAGTGCAAAAGTCCTACCTGCCTTAGGTAAACCCCTAGGTAGCTCTGCCGTTGTCCTCCAAGTGGCTATAGAAATTTAAGGCTGTTCGCATCACTGTGACTGCTGGCTGGCTCCCCTGCCCTGCTCAGGGTTTGCTAGGAGCAGGGACAGTCTGCTGCTTAGCAACATCTAACTCACATGCCCATAATCATGTAATGCTGAAGTTCTGGTGAAACTCAGGGGAAAAACCAGTTCTCCAGCAAGACAGTGCATCTTCTTTTAAACAGTTTTCACATTGTTGGTCAGATTGCTCTGAGACCCAACAGGTGACTTATAGCTAGTATCTTCCCAAGTGAGTTTTTTGTCTGCCCAACCAACTTCCTCTTTCTGAAGAGCCACTGGATGTCCTTGCTCCCTACTGTTATTGTGTTGCCATGGCAACCCTGGGCCTCTGAGTACAAGAGGAATCCTGAATTCCAGATTCTGCTGTCAGAAGGGCAAGGGGAATTAATGGGCCCTCAGGATTGCTGTCCTGGATCCTACCCTTCCCCTTCCTTTCCTGTAGGTGCAAGTACCTGCAGTAAGGCTTGCTCTCACATGCGTGCACACGCTTGCTCTCTCAAGGCAGCTGCTAGTCTTTCAGTGACATGAATTCATAGCAGCTGCAGCAAAGTGCAATGCCTGAGCAGCCCCCAGTGGAGCTGGTGCCCAAGGCCAACGACAGCCCGGGCCAGGAGAACGGCTGTGGCCTGCGGGGCCCAGCAAGGCCACAGCCTGAGCTCGTTCAGGATAGGGCCGTGCGCAGACGCTTGGCAGAGGAGCTCCTGGCAACTGAGCTCCAAGTTTCTGAATTTCTGGGGCCAGACATTTGTTGGAAACAAAACCAAACAAAAAAACCCTCACACTCCAGAAGCATCAAAAAGATAAACCCACGTCTCTGATTCTCAGAAGCAGTCAGGTTCTCAACAAAGGGACCTGCTTAGTCTAACAGTCATTCTTTGGTAGAAAACAGTTGTGGAAATAAATTTGGTCATCTGGCCAAGGAAGGGTCTGGCCAGGCTCTGCCTCCAGGGCAGTAGGCTCATTTTCTAAAGACCCAAAGAGAAAAGAGGAACGAGTTAGATCTACTTGGACTTTATGGGTCACTGTTCATAGGACTACAGAGTGATCTAGGGGCAACTCCACCCTCAACGCTGCAGGATGCCCACAGGGACGAGTTCGCACAGCAAGGCGCTCTGCAGCGCAGGGGCCTGGCGCCAGGGCAGAGGCGAAAAGAGCTGGGCCAGGCCAGGGCCCTACTGCTGCTTCGGGGAAGTGGGGTGTGGCTGGACACAGGCGGGGGGCCTTAAGGCCAGGCAGAGGAACTCTCAGGATTTGGGACAAGGTGAAAGACTTTATCATTCAGTGTGCAGTGGCTCCAAGCAATTGCTGTTCCTAAAAACCCACATTAAGCCAATATTCCCCCCACCAAAAATCAAAACACTCCACACTGTGAAGAGGCAGGAGGTTGGTGAGGGAGGAAGGCAAAGGAGAAAGAAGCACCTCACTATGTATAGCACAGATGAGTATACTTTTAAGGCATCTAAGATTCCTTTCTTATTTAAAAACAATACACATTCAATCCTTAAAATTCACACTTCTTTCAATTGTATAGATGCTTCTGGGTTTATAGTCAGAAATGCCTCACTAGAAAAGTGGCTATTTTCATGGGCTCCATCCCTTTCAACTAGCCAGGGAAAGCCCCAGTGGCCTGTCTCCGACTGTTCTGGGAAGAACCACCTCTGTCTCGGGGAGTGGAATTCTCTGGGACAACTGGCTTTGCTGGAGCGAGGGAGCAGATGCAAACAGAGCTGAAGTTCCTTGGAGAAGTCTCAGTTCCCTCTGGACTCATTGGCTTCCCTTCTGACAAGGGGCAGCTCGCTACCCCTCGGAAGCATAGGCTAGGGTACGTCAGAGAGCCACTGCCACTCAGCACAGAGTTTCCAGCCAGCCAAGTGCTGTCTACTCTCATCCCACGTCTTTGCATGAGGCTACAGTTGTGATTTTCCAACTGTGCTCTGCTGTGTGCCAGGGCTCAGCAGAAGTCCTCAGAGTATGGGGCTGAGCCAAAAAGTAGCTTTGCTGCTATAAGTACAAATACGTATTTAAAAAAAAAAATCTTCTGGGGATGCATTTGGGGGTTGGGGAATGGGGAGGAGAGAAGACAGATTACTTCAGGCACTTTGGAAAGACAAATGGTAATCCACTGGGTTTGGGGCAGGCTGAGCCAGTTGGCGGAAGCCAACAGTGAGACGATCACCAACCAAGACAATAGCTCCCTGGACAGAAGTGAGCCTGTGAGCATAGGGTGCAAATGGACACGTATGTACACGTCTGGAAAGGATCCCACTGTCTGTCTAGTCAGTCCCGTGAATAGGCATGGGAGAGCAGGACACACGCTCAGGCCTAGGAGGTCCCAGGGACCATCTGAAGCATGTGGAAAGGAGCAGTCCCTGCAGGCTGGGAAATCGGACTTCTGGGAAACTGAAAATTCCCAAGATTAGTCTGACTTGCCAGGAGGGATGAGGCTCACTAATGGTTTCGGAATCTGAATAAGGTGACTATTTCTTTGTCCCATGACTGGGAAAGATGAAAAGCTATGTTTTATAGCACAGCACAAGGAATTTAAAGCAGCTGTGAAGATTGTCAGCCACTGGAGAAAGTGACAGGTACTGCCATTATGAGCAGGCGGAGGTCCCTCTTGCATGTGGAGTTGGGAGAAAAGGACTTGGCCGAGTGACCTTCCAGATTCCCTCCACCACTGGGATCTGGGGGTCTGACTCCTATCTCCAGTAGCCAGGTCCTCCCCGCAGTGGTTACATGCACACCAACTCCTGCTCGCCACTCACGGTGAGAGCTCATTAGAGGGTAGCCCCTTGGAGGCAGAGAGGCTGCTGCCTCCCAAGTGCCACCAATGCCTCCAGCAGCACCAGTTCTGTGGGCACAGAGCGTTGGAATCGGATGTCAAACATCCTCAGACATAACTCAGAGGACACCAACTTCCCCGTTCTCTAAGGGCAAGGCTAATGGAACTGCCACAGCTCAGGGACTGGGCCCGGCCTGGAAGTGAGATGGCTCAGAGCCGACCTGAGCTCGCCTGTATGAGAGGCTGGCACCACACTTCAGGCCAGGCCGAGGCCGTCTGCCGATGACAGGGAAGCGCCGGCAGTGCGGAGCTCCTCAGTGGACGTGCAGGCTGCCTGACCTACTTGGCTACAGGAAACAGGACAGTCTTTTTTTTTTTTTTTTGGTGACATGATTAGAAATTCACTTTTAGGAAACGAAAGTGATGGTTAAAGTAGTATCTGAGTCTAGCCTATAACTGTCTAATTCTGGAGTCTCTCATTCCATTCTAGTGAACAAGGAAGCAAGCCTGGCCGGTCTCATTTCCTTGTATTGGCCACATAAAAAGCAATTCTTCTCCTGCCCCCAAAGTCCACCTCAACTAAGAGGGACGGGCAGGGCGTTGTCTTCCATCAGACCCTTTCCAGACTCCTCATGAGAAGTGTGTCTCCCCTGCGCCTGCCCTTGCCCTCGCGTCTGTGCTGCCCTCCCTGCACGACCTCTGCAGGGGCCGCGGGCCTGGCGGCGGCATCTGGTGGGTATCTGGCTAGAAAGTCCTCCTCAAAGGTAAGGACACCTGTGGGCAGTTTCCTACACGCTCTCGCCAGCCGTGAGCCACCGTGCTGGAAAGGGGCAAATACTCTTTCTCTCCTACTGCTGCTTCAAGGGTTCCCTTCTCCTTATAGCTTTCCAGCCCCTAGGAGAAGGATGCGTGGATCAGAGAAAGAAAACCCATGGTAACCCATGCCTGCATGCTGGGGTTGAATCCTGATCATTTGGGAGATAGAGACTCACTCACAGCCTCCCAAGACTGCCTTCCCAAATGCTTCACGTAACACTGACTCTACCAAGGAAACTTAAATCCTCTGCTACCAGGGACATGGACTTACAGATTTTCATATACATTAGAAATTTGTTTTGAAAATAAAACCATCAGGTTTTAAAACCTCTGGAAAGCGGCTGCAAATCTCCGTTGAAGCACAAAGCAAAAACATTTTCTTGATTCAGATTTACAGCACTGTTTTCTTTTCTAAAACAATTCAAAAATGTGTGTGAACATTAGGCACAATTGCAGCATAAGGAGAGCGATTACTCCTGAGACTGCAGGATGAGAACTACATCATTAACAGCCACAATTAGATCCCAGGGTCCTAAGCCCTGGGCCATTTCCGCCTGTGTGTAGCTTAGCAACCAGGCCTCACTGGGCTGCCGCAAGCGCAGTATCACCTTTCTCCACCCAGTGTGCCTGCAATGTTCAAGCACTGCTTCCACTGCCACAGATGGAAAAACAGGAGTCACAGCACACAGGGTACCATCGAGCCATCATTCTAAAGCACCACTTTTGAAACAATTCCTAAAACCCAAGTCAAAATTAATATCTAAAACATTTTAAATGTGCTTTGTATAAAAATATGTATGAGTCAGTTTTATGACTCTGGCCTTCTGTACCATATGTCATGATAGTCACCTGATAGTCACAGCCAACAAAGGGCCAGAAAGTCGTGCTTCAAAATAATGCTCTAGAATATGAATCTCATGCTCTGGGAGTGTGGGGTTTCCGAAAGAGCAGCCAGTATCCACTTCTGACACTGGTGCCTGATACTTTATTCTTTGAAGTTGTATTTGGGAGGATGCAGGTTACTCTCCTAAAATCCATCTGCAGTGCTAGGTTTGGGGTTACTACCTCTTTGTGGATATGTGAATCTTGTGTCATAAAGTTGCAAGCATGTTTAACAGGAAGGGCAGTTTTCCAGTAACTTGCTGTTTTCTCTTTGCCACTAAGAGACAGAAGCGTGTCACACAGTAAAGAAGGCTGGTGGTCTCTCAGGGTCTGCGCCCTGCCTCGCCTCTTCGGCTGGCTATTTTACACTGCGTTCCGGCTCAACCCTCTCCGAGTCTCCCTCCAAAAGTCACGGTAACGGGCACGTTAGTTTCATCACCAAGCTCACTGCCCTCATTCTCCTCTATTTCTTAAAGAACAGTAGATGGTACATCTGTAAATTATGGAGTATTAATACTTCTCTATGGCTTTTTGGACCCTCTACCCCAAGCCCTGAGTGGGAGTCAGTATAAGCTAGATTTGTACTCTATTTTTATTCTTGCCACACCTGGACCAGGTGTAGCCAACATGGAGAGTTACTGAGAACTGACATATGCCCAGCTCTTCAGAAGAGCCAGCAAGGTGTCTGCAGCCTTTGCCCGCCTGCCCTCGAGGGCTCAACATGCAACAGAGCCCAGGGGCGCCCGATCCTGTTTCCTTCTGCCCTGTTTGTATATGGACATTTATATAGCCACATTTGCTGCTACTCTGGAAATATTTTAGTTCATCCAGCAATGGGGGGGGGGAGGGGAGGATGAGGAGTTCTGATTTGAGGCTGGCTTTGGCATGGCCAGAGGAGGTAGCAGGGATAGGAAAGGTCAGGGTGGGTGGCGCCCCAGGCAGCTTGGAGAAGAGAACGAGAAAAGGTGACCCAGGGGCTGAATGTTCTACCTGCTTAAGAAGCCTGCAAGTCCTTGGTTAACAGTCTGCATCAGGGATCTAGAACACACTGGACCTAGTCCCAAGTAGCATGGTTTTTTCACGCTTCAGTTCAAACTGAAGCAATTTGGATGACAGGTCACATTAACTCTTAATATACTGCCCAAAGGACACGTGAAAGGGTGTGAAAGTAGACCCAGGTGGTTGCCTTCACTGTTGAGTTGAAATTTTTAAAAGAAAAAATATTTTAAGCAAAATCTTTCAAAGCCCCAGACCTTAAGATGACAACTAGTACTGCTTTCTTTTGAAAAATGCATACAAAATACAAATAATGGTTAAAAACGTAAACAGGAATGGTTATATTCTGGAACACAGAGTCCACCACAGGAATTGCATCATGAGCGACTGAGTGCAATCAGTGACAGGAAGAGGGAGGGGGAGGACTGCCACGCCGTGAGCGAGCGCGCCGCGTCACCGCGATGCCAGAGGCTGACGATGAGGGTGTAAAAATGATGCAGCTTCAGAACCACCTAATAATACACGTCACCACGTTCCAGCTAAACGCAAATTTACGTGGAAGGTCGCATCTGTTCCTTTAATTTTTTAAATGTAGGATAAAAAATTAAGAGCTCAATTCCCTTTCTCCCCACCCCCTTTTTGGTGTTAATAGAGAAATATTAATTGACTCTCGTTCTCGGGTCTTAAAAGCCTTTGCATCATTTTTATTTTCAATAAAAGTGAATCATCTTTTACAAAACCATGGCGTCCTGGCAAAGCTCGTCACGGGGGCGGCTGAAAATATATTGCCCACGGTTAAAACAGACAGACAGCTGGCTCAGGGCGTCGTCTGGGGGCTCAGCGAAGAAACCCCGGTGCGCCCACCAGCACGTCTGAAAACGACCCCCGCGGAGCCCCTGGATTAGGCCAGAGGCCCCGGCTTCGGTGCCCACCGGGACCGGCAGGCGGCCTGCCAGACCGTTCCCTGTCCACACCAGGGGGTTGACCTCCGCCTAGTTTCCTGGCCAGCGCCATCTGAGGACCAGGCTGTCCCACAGGGGAGGCGCCTTCTCCAGGCTGACCCCAAGGGTCCCGGTCCCCAACACAGGAGCCTCCTGCCCTCTTCCTGACACCCTCTCCCCCTTCCCCGCCCGCCAGAGTCCCCCCAGCTCTGTGGTCTCCTCGCACTCAGCCCTCTACGAGACCACTCCAAGCCCCCTGCCCACTCTGCCCCCCCCAGCTGGGCGTCGCCCCAGGAGCCCCCAGGCCTGCCAGTGGAGGTGGCCTGTGCCCATCTGTCCCGGGGCCCTGGAGCAGTACGAAGCCCACGTCACCTACCTTCTGGCCGAGGAAGAGGCTCTTGGTGGAGAGCACGGTGAAGCCGTCGGCGGGCGTGCCCTCGGTTGTGCTGTCGGCGCTGGCTGCCTTGCTGACTTCGCCCTGCTTCTTCTTGCACAGACAGAAGGGTCAGAGTGAGGCCGCCCGGGCACAGGCCACGCGCGCCAGTCGGGGCTTCCTAACCGGGAGGCAGTGCACGGGCCTCACCCCTCATACTCAAACCAGGACACTAAACACAACCATTTCTCAGCACGTCCCAAAGTGGGGACTGCAGACTTGTTTGGAGGTATGCGAGTTCTGTATGTTAAATTGTATTTTTATCACTTTCTAATCTAAAAAACTGCTACTTAAAGGTGAAACTTGGCTGGGTGCAGTGGCTCGCGCCTGTATTCCTAGCACTCCAGGGGGCCAAGGAAGGAGGACTGTTTGAGCTCAGGAGTTTGGGACCAGCCTCAGTAGGAGCGAGACCCCATCTCTACTAAAAAAAAATAGAAATTAGCTGGACAACTAAAAATGTATACATATATAAAACTTAGCCAGGCATTGGTGGCACATGCCTGCAGTCCCAGCTACTGGGGAGGCTGAGGCAGAAGGATCTCTTGAGTCCAGGAGTTGGAGGTTGCTGTGAGCTAGGCTGATGCCACTGCACTCTACCCAGGCAACAGAGTGAAACTCTGTCTCAAAAAAAAGGTGAAACTTCATTTTGCATTGATCTTTTAGAATAGAAACCTTTTCATAAATTCAGACCAAGTAAATGCCTCTGAATTAAGGATCTTCAAGTGTTTTTGTTTTCTAGATGTCTTGCACACCATTCAAGCTTAAGAAGAAAAACACTGTGCTAGGTCACTATTCTCAAAAAGCAGACCAAGGACCATAACCCTCCAACCTTCTCCCCACCCAGAAGGTGAGTCTGGCTTGTACCCTCCTTCATTTAAACCAGCCCTCGACAAGGATGAATGTAGAGAGGGTGTTATAAACCCACCTGTCTCCCTAGGGACCCCACCTGGTGGGCATGGGTCTCAGCCTGCTCTTTGGCATGGGCACCCTGGAGTTCCCAAGGGTCTTCCAAGAGGTGAGTGGCATCAAGAGTTTTAAATAAACCAATTTCCAGATCTTCAGCTGCCTAATACACTTTTTCCTACAACGGATCTGCCCTGAGCGAGGGATCTGTGCCTGGGGTTCCTTTCCTAACCACGCTCCTCCTGCTTCCCAGAGCTAGTATCAGCATGGGCCACCACGCCGGGAGTAGGGATATAGAATTTTTGCATATTTCTATTGAGGACAAAGCCTGTAGTAGAAACGGATATTTTGGCTAATTTGGGGATTTCCTGCATTCTGACATATTATAGGGTGAGGACAGTGGGAACAATGGCATTTTTTTATTTCGACACTTCATCTTTCCCTTTCCCCAAATTAGTGTCAAAATGTACATCATTCCTGAGATGGGGTCCGGGGAAAGAAATTAAGAAAGAAGGGGTGAGAAATATTCCAGACGGCTGTGCCTTCTGGAGGATCAATATGAACACTCAGAAGGGCAATGCCTGTGCCCTCCCTATCCATTTGTCTAAGATTCAAATTCACTAATGTATTAACATTTTTACTTACATTAAAAAAAAGGTCTAATTTTGCTGATTGCTTTAACAATAAGGACTGCTTTAAAAATTAGGTTATATGTCTAACATTTGCTATAAATTAAATGCACTAAATCTGAAATCCCAAGGTTTTGATACAACTGGTAAGACAATAAAGCATTTTATCAAGAAACATGGTACTGCCAAAGATACATTAAAATTATCACTATTTTGGTTTTCTTAATACTTTGTGTGGCTCAGATTGGACAAGCAAAAGAGAAACGGGTATATTACTATATAATTAACTATATACTTATTATAATTAATTATAATATAATTATATATATTATATATATATTAATTATAATATAATTAACAATTATATAGTAAGTCTTAGCAAAGCCTTTTTTGATATATTTTCCAGGAACCAAGAAAGGGCAAGGCTGGATAGCAAGGCTGCCTGCAAATCACGTGTTTTAAATTCTGTACTTTCAACAAAACTGAAGCAATACCTAATTGAGTTAACAGCTGATAGATCATTAAAAACAGACTGATGTAGTTTAGCTAACAGGAACAGACCTGTGTCGGTTTCTTAGTCGTGGCCCTGTGCACCATAGTCACGCGAGATGTTAACCACAGGGAGACCAGGTGAGGGTAATCAAGAACTCTCTGTACCCTGTAACCCTTCTCTATATTTAAAACTACTCTAAAATAAAACATTTATTAAAATACATTGATGAGAGAGTACTCCATGACTGTTGGCATATATCAGAAAGGGTTCTGAGGATTGAATGATGTTACTGTAACAAAACTTTCCATTCCTATTTTAGCAAACAAGGCTTTCCCAGCACTTATAAGTATAAAAAATTGGGATGCTGAACCCTGTCTCATTTTAGCAATAATATTCATCTTAGGATACTTGAACTGGGGGGAAGAAGGGTGGGGAATCTCTACCCATCCCATCCCAAGCTGCTTTTCCAATAAAATTTTATTTTCCTTAATAGTTATAAAAATTTATAATTCATTTGATCAGTTTGATCAATAGTATATTATTAAGTGCCCTAACTATCCAATCCTGTAGAATCTGTATCATTTTGTGCTTTTATAAAGGTCAAAAGCAAGTTTTCAAAATAAATTTATATGCATCATTTTTTTGCAGAAATCTATAAAATATAAGCATATACAGGGATGAAAATTTTTGGAGTAAATGAAGGGGGAATAAAGGGAAAAAACAAATTGTCCAACTGTTGAAGGGCCAATTTGTGTATTTTTTAAGTGGATGATGGTGTATCAAATCAGCACAGTACTTAGACTCCATTGGATACACTTAAATGAGGAAAACAGTTTTATTTTTAATGTATTTGCAGTATGCAAAAAAAAAATCACACCCTCTGCAGGTATTTAAATTTATAATGAAAGTTTAGCTGTCAAATTTTAAATGTGTATGATACAAAGATTTTAAAAATTCTTTTTAGGAGGTATGCGAGCAAAAATGTTTGAAAATCAATGCCCTACACTACCCATGCATAGCTCAGTAAATACTTGGGAATGGGATAAAGGTTCTCACACAGAGGGATAAGTAGATAAGGATTTAGCGCTTCCTGCCAAGGATACCTGGGTTTTGAGAGATAAGACCTAGCTGATAGGATTTCAGGCACCTGGGAGTTGGAGCTGGTTTTATTGGGAGGCAGGCACTTGAGCATCCCTGTGCCCCTGACACAAATCAGCAGCCACCTCCACAGCCAAGTTCTAAGGCTTAACCTGTGATGACACCAGTGATTCGCAGCAATGACTCATTAAGGCTTTGGCTCCCTGACTCCTCCTGCAGTGGGTGGCCGTGCAGCCCTCCGCCATCTGAAGAGAGGCTTCCACCAAGGGGAGTTGTCCATGGGCACAGGACATAACAGTGACACTATGTCTGCACTCAGAATGACTGCATTTCAGTATCTGTACTTTGAGCTCTGCTAGCTGCACGACCTTGGGAAAACTGCTCACCATCCCTAAGCCTCAGATTCCTCATTTGGAAAATGAGACGAAGGCTAGAGAACTCATTCAACACACTGCCTTAGAGAGAAGGCAGCAAGGTGCAGTGCAGAGACGAGCCAGTCCTTCCTGGTTTTCTGCAGCCCGTCTGCTCGGCAGAGAACTCCTGCCTCCTCCCTTCCAGGTTCCCCATGGGACAACGTGGGTGCTTGCGAGATACGACCGCATTCAAACCCTAACTGTGCCCAAGTTTCTCATGAACCCTGCTGCTGTCCCCCTCTAACTTCTTGGTATTAAAATGCCCTTCTTTTATGAAGTGGTAATCCCAAGTGATAGATTCTTTTCATATCCCAGCTTGGAGGAAAAAGTGTTGGCAAGCAATCTTGTTTGTCAATCTCCAAAATAACTGACCGTGTAGAATTTTATATTGTTCTACAAACACAAAGGATCCCATTTAGTGGTCGGGCACTCAGCTTTGTTTTGAGCAGTAGAAAACCTACCAGGTTGCAGTCAGCTGGGAGACTCTGTAGGACTGAGTGTCCAAAAAGGCTTACGTGAAAGTCCTCAATCCAAGTCGACCTATGCCTAGTCTCTTTCACTCTGGTGGTTGAACTGCCTGAAGTATCATTAAAAAGCCAGCAAAATTTTGTAAGGACGGCAGCTTCTCAAAAGAACCACTTCCTTCCAAGAAACAGGCACTCTACCAAAATCATCTTAGGCTTTTGCCAGGAGCAAGCCTACCCTCATGATCCCAGAGGGTGGTTTTCACGTGGTGACGGAGTGGGGTTTGGGGATGGTGCAGGTTTATGTTGAAAGATCCTAGGCGAGATAATACTTTACCCAAATTTTTGACAAAAACTGTCTTAGAGATGCCCAAAAGATTATCCTATGATTCTCAGTCAACACTCTGACAGGGGTCTTAACCTGGGAGACGTAAGTATAGATGGTTTCCTTTGAATCTCAGGCATTTTATTTTATGCCTTTGAAACCTTATCTTGAGAAGGGTCCCCAGCCTTTCCCACTGCCAAAGGTGTCCGTATTATGGAAACATGAGGAGCCCACAGGCCAGCCAGTTCTCCTGGGAGGAGCCAAGCATGACCCACCTCAAGGTGCCTTGCTGTTCCCTTGCCAGCAGCTCTCTGCTCCTGCTCACCTGGATGGCCAAGTGTCTCACTCAGTCAGGTCTCTGCTGAAGTGCCACCTTACGAGTAGTCTCACCTAACCGTCTAGGTAATAACACTGCCTCTGCCATCGCACCCTTTATTTCTGCCATCGCACCGACCCCTGCCCACCTTCTATAACGACCCTGCACCCCTCTCTGAGCTTCGAGGGAGGGCAGGGGCTTTGTGCTCCCTGCTGCTACCTCCACTACTGAGAAGAGTAGCACAGACTGGATAAATACTGGTCAAATGAATATTCATTCTTTAAACATCTTGGTATTAAATGTTCAAAAGATGAGGCTGCTTTTGAAATTTCTTAATGGGGTAGAAATTTCCTATGAGTGACAGCCAAAGTTAAAAACATACTCAACTCTCGATCTAAAGGTCCGTTTGTAGAAGACTGGCTACATGGGTTTTACATATCACATCAGTAACTGTAGTCAGCCGTGCAGTATGAAAGCAGCCCTACATGCAGAGAGACGGAAGAACGGCTAAAAGAGTGACAGCAGCAGGTACTGTGTACGCCACACTGCTGTACCTACGCACTCTCCATGAATCCCGTTAAGCCTCACGACCACTTTGTATAGCTCCATTTTACAGATGAGGAAGCTGAACACAGAGAAGTAACTTGCCAAGGTCATGCAGCTAGGAAACGGCAGAATTGGGACACAAAGCCCGGTGGCTGACCCCAAAGCTTACACTCTTAACTATTACACGACACTGCCAAAATAGTTGGTCACATGATTTATATATTTTTTAAAGAAGATCAGGTAGGATGCGGAGGGATTGATGCCTCTCTATGCTGATGCACAGACTTTCTGAAAGGAGACATAAAAGCTCATTACAGAGACTGCCCTGGGTAGAAGTGGGGGGCTGACGGGAGCGAGATTTCTCTGCTACACACTCTTTCGTACTCTCCAAACTCTCATACATGTTACTTACTCAAAAACATATGCAATATACATAGAGTCACTGAATTATAAGGCTGGAATGGACTCTCTTTTTACAGGGTGGGGTAAACCGGGAGAGAGAACACAGAGAGGGGAAGACTTGCCTGAGGCCACCCAGGTAGGAGGGAGGAACCCTGGGACACAGCCAGGGCTCTGGACTCCCAGCCCCGGGGGAGGGAGGGAGGAGTATTGCCTTCTCTAACCGTTTCCACCATAGCTGACTCAGCTGTCACAACTGGAGATTTTCAAACCCTTCAAACTGCACAGAATTGGGGGAAAAATTATGATTTGGAATTCAAGTGTTGACACTTGAAAAATACCAACTCCCTTTCACTACAAGTGTTTTAGCATGTTACGAAGGCTTTCTCAGCGTGTCCCTGGAAAGGTTATTTTCAGAACGTTCCACTTAAACCTGGAGATGCAGAGTTCTCTGCTGTTTCTGGGAGCTGACACCACAATTTACATTAAACAAATGTTTTGAAAATTAGCTGTTCACGGTTCCAATTTCAGCTTCCCCCAGGGTTTAATGTTAGCCAAATACTGGTACAGTAAGCAGACAATGTGTTTTATTGTATGGAAGGAAAACAGACCACCATAACAGACTTCCTGCTTTTGTAATCAAGGGAAAAGTTGAGTGGTCCAGTGATTATTGGCATATGGTTATTAGAAACACTGAGTTCCAAATATAGCTACTAGGAGCTGAAGAGACACACACACACACACACACACACACACACACACACCCCTATATTTCAAATCCAAAAAGAAAGAGAAAAAATTCCTAGTGTTTGGTAAATTGGAAAGTTCACAAAGTCATGGGGCAAAAACTACTAGAGGAAGGCTCGGGCGGCAGGGGAACTAGGTCCAGCCGGTTTGTCTGCAGACGCTGACGTCTGAGACTTGCTCAAATGTCAACAGCGTGTGCATAGAAGAGGCAATGGCCTGGGACGTGGCATGAGCCAAGGCTATGCCGAGGCCACCATCCTGCCCCTGCTGGTCCCCAGCACCAAGTGCCACAGGCCCCGCTCTGCGGGCAGCCAGGTCCCTGGGGTCCATTTCCAAGAGATGACAGACCTGGCATCCTCATCCTTTTAACATTTACAAAGGGCTGCACTTTCCCCTGCTTCCCGCCACGCTCCTCCTCCCAGCTGCAAATGTTGAAAGGGAAAAAAGAAACAGCTCAATCTGCTAATTTTATAGTTAGCAGGAGCGAGTAAGGGCGCATTCTGCAAAATCCCCGCCTGACCTCCAGCACCCTCCCAGACTCGGGAGCCAGGTGGAATGCAAGCGTCTGGAAATAACTCACAGGACGCTCTTCAGTATCGAGTTTCTCTCTCAAAGAGCTGGGAGTGATGCTGGGGCTGGGGCTGGGTGGCGTGTTAGCAAGAGGAATTTAGATTTTGTGTGTGCAAAGACATACCGCCTCTCCCGCCTAAGTACAGCGGGAGATGGGAGAAGGTGGTCGGGGGTCAAAGAAGATGCCCCCGCATGCACAGGCAGTCTCAAAGGAGGGGACATGTGGCAGGGTGGGAGGAGTTATGCTCACCTGGCCACAGTTCCTCACGCCTACCTGGGAAGGTGTCCTCACTGTCTCACTAGGGTGGGAGGATTTGGGCTCACGTGGGAAGGATTTCCCGACACTGCTTCATTAGGTCTCACAAGGCATTTCCCAGGACTTACTATGGAGGGTCTTACGAAATAGGCAGGCCTCCTTCTGCCAGGGGCGATTCCTCCCAGTCTGGCTGGAGGTTAGAAGGAACACCTCAGGCCAGGGCAGCCTCGAGATTCCATTTTATTAAAGACCAAGCTTTGACTGCAATGCTCCCCGTTTGCTGGCCCTGGAGGTGGTGACAACAGGAGATAGGCCAGGGCCCAGCAAGGAAGGAATGAAAAATATGTGTCCGAGGTGCCTTGCAGCCTCCTGCTGATGCTCAGTGAGCACAACTACTTGGAAGCAGGGCCTCCAGGGGTCCCCCCATGCTGCACGGATTATGGCTCAGAACCTGCTGGCCTCCCCCACCCAGGACAACACAGATCACACTGACGAGAAGGCTGTCCTCACCACAAAATGATCAGTGCCTAGGACCTTGCCAGTCCAAGTTAGGCCCAGTGGGAAGTGCTTGAAAAATATGTCTGTCTTCCTCCTTCACAGAGGCAACCACTCCAAACAGCAAACTGTCCAGACCAGCCCTGGACAGAAACGCGGCCAGGGCAACACGGTGGGAGCTCTGCAACTGAGCGTCAGGGAGTGTGGGCAGCTGGCCCCTCTGGGCAGGACTAGATGGCGGCTGTCCCCTAGCGTGGGTCAAGCATCTCCCTGGAAGGCCAGGCACAAAGGTCCTTCCAGCCTGGGGCTACCACCCCCAGCACGTCCTGAAAACCCATCGCCCATCCCCCTCGTCCACAGGGTCCAGTCCTCCAACTGCGTCTGATTCCAGGAGACAGACAGTCCTGACCCTGGCCATTGGAGCTGGACTAGCCCCTGCGAAATCAAGTCCTATGTGTTCCTCCTCTGGTCCTCCCTATCTGGGGGACAAGCCCATGGGGAAGGGGAACCCAGGTGGGAAGGGGGTCACCTCTTGTGGCCCCATTTATCTGCTCCCCACCCTGCCCCACTCCACACGTCCCTGCCAAGTAACATACCTTGGATTTCCGGGCCCCTTTCTTGCCTCCTGCTTTTTTAGACACGGGTTTCTTCTGGGACGGAGACTTGGCCTTTTTGGCTGGGGGTGGCGTGATGATGGCTTCCAACTTCCCTTTGGATCCTCGCTTCTTCGCTAGCAACTCAGGGTGGATGTTCGGTAACACCCCCCCGCTGGCTATGGTGACTCCTTTTAGCAGCTGGCAGGAAAACCAAAGGGGCAGAAGGTGAATCAGATCACCCCGCCTGCCAGCCAGACCACCCCGCCCACCAGCCAGCCCTGCCTGTGCACCCTCCTGCTTGGGGTGGCAGCGCCCCTTCCTCCATGGCATCTACAGGGACACCAGCAGGACTCAGGCCCGCCACACAGGGCTCAAGACCCCAGAGTCCCTCACCTGGATGGGATTTAGATAATACCTGTCCTTCAGGGAGAGCCCAACACCTTGTCTCCTCCCCTCCCCACACTGCCAAGAAGGCCCGAGGAAACAGTGCCTCAAGAGGCAAGGAAGCTGCTAATGAACCCAAAATGCAGGCCACACCTTGATAACCAGCCAGACACTGAGGCCCCTCAGCTCTGCCTCTCAGGAAGTGTGGCTACCTGCTCGAGGGTCTGGGGAGGCTGGGAGAGCCCTGTACCTGATTCAGCTCCTCATCATTGGCCACTGCCAGCAGGATGTGCCTTGGTGTGACCCGTCCTTTCTTGTTGTCTCTCGCTGCATTGCCAGCCAGCTCCAGAATCTCCGCTGTGGGGAGAGAGAACAGCACATGTCACATTAGAGCATCAGAGGACCCCGTGTCCCCCCGGCCCTATTCACAGTGCTAGGAATGGGTGCAGGCAGCCGATCCAGGAAGCAGCTGCCCAAGATGAGAAGCTGTAGCTGGGTCTTCCCGGCAAACACTTTGGGCACGGTCACGGAGGGGTTAAACCACAAGCTGCGCAGGACCCAGCAGGCCACTGGTCCAATCCCTTTGTTTTGGACATGGAGCTGAGGCTGAGAGAGAAGAGACCCTCTGAAGGTCACTCAGTAAGTAAGTGGTGAGATCTGTGCCCAGTTCTAGCTCCTGTTTCCCAGAAAATGCGGCTTGCAGTCAGTACCCCCCACATCACCAGGGCCGACCCTGCGGGGTCAGCTGCGTGGCCTGACAGTGCACTGTGTCTACATCTTGAACAACAGGTAAGGGGTTTATAGGGTTTCCAGGAGAGGGTGGCTCGACATTGTTGGGCGCGTGTTAAATCTGTTGATTTAATCAGTGTGGAATGTCTGCACATTTAGATTCAAAACCAGAAGTCAATCTCATAAAAACATAAAACAAAAGTGATGGGGGGTGCTGTAGATTTTAAAGGCTAAAGAGATATGACAACCAAATACAAATTTGTCAGTCCTTGATGGAATCCCAATTTTTTTTAAAGGTGTAAGTCATTTTGGAAACAACAAAATCTGAATGTGGACTGGACATCACACACTAGGGAATTACTGATTTTCTTAAGTGTGATAATGGTGTCGCCATGCACTAGGGAATGTCCTTGTTCTCAGGAGATACAAGCTGAAGCATTTAGGAGTGAAGCATCTTGATGTCTGCAACTTACTCTCAAAGAACTCTGAAAAAGTCTACAGAGTACAGCAAATGTGGCCAAATGTTAGCAGTTGTTACTATGGGTATATGATAGAGTGTTCCTCTTTCAAGGAAATTCTGTCATTTGCAACAACATGCATGAAGCTGGAGGACATTATGCTAAGCGAAATAAGCCAGGCACAGAAAGACAGGTACTGCATGATCTCACTTCTATGTGTTATCTGAAGATGTCAAACTCGTAGAAACAGTAGAATGGCAGTCACCTGGGACTGGGGCAGGGGGAGGGAGATGCTGGTCCAATGGTACGAAGTTTCAGACAGACAGGATGAATATGTTTTAGTGACCACACAGAATGGCAACTATAGTTAATAAGGCATATTTCAAAATTGCTAAAAGAATAGATTTTAAATGTTCTCAACATTAAGTAGTACGTGAGGTGATGCATATGTTAATTAGCTTGATTTATCCACTCCACAGTGTATACATATAGGAAAACATCATAATATATCCCATAAATATATAAAAAAATTTTTAAAGTATTCTTTTAGCATTCTGTATGTTTGAACTTTTTCAAAATGAAAAATATGAGAAAATAATCTAGGCTATGCACATGACCCATATGGGTGCCAAGACTGATTTTGCCTGCCCTTTGGGGCAGCGTCTCACAGGACAAGATGACAGATCTCCTCAGCACCGAAGACGGTGGGGATTAGGAGGTGCCCTTTGGCAAGAGATTTTCTTCTTCCTGGCAACACAGTTCTCTTGGTAACTTGTCAACCTTGTCATCATCATCACATTTTCTTGATGAGGTACATACAGACAGTCTCAGAATGTACCTCACACTCCCCACCTCTGCAATTCTGCCACGTCCGTCCTTCTAGACCACCGTTCCAGGCCCAAACCAAGCCCAATCTCCTCCTGGTGCTAAAGAATTTCTGATATTTAGTTATATTGTAAACACTAGACTTCTCTGGCAGTCAGCATTCAGAATCATTACAAAGTAACTAGGAACAAAATTCTAGCTGCATGAAAATCATGTGTTTAAAATTTACGACAGTGCATGTTATACATGTTTTAAGAGGTACCAACAGCTGAACCTAATGCAGAGAAGTACTGTACGTGTCCAAAGCTGAAAAGCTGCTGGCTACTCATGGAAGCAGTATTAGCGGGGGCAGGCGTCAGTCACACTTGAAACACCAGGTTTCCCCTCTAAACCCAAAGCAGGAATTCAGTTGCTCAATAATCACCACACTGATGTCACTCAGCTCTGTGCTGGCAGGAGGGACACAGGTGCCATGAGCCCCTGCCTTCTCTGTGTTCCCAGGCCAGCAGGGAGATCACATCAAAGCTGCACATGCCAGCGCCATGGGGACCCTTAACCGGGCTTTACACATGTGACGGGGGAGGGGGAGGGAGGCAGGACAGGCAACAGCATAACCATTAGAGGGGCTCACGTTTCTCCCTTTCACACGTACATCTCAACAGGGCTGGTCCCCACGGGCTCAGGACAGTTCGGTTACCAGCGGTGGGGGAAACAGCCCACCTAGCAGTGTCACCGAAGCTTCCCTACAACTGATCATGGTAGTGTGTCCCAGTGCCCAGCAGAGACGGGCCCACCTTGGCCAAGCAGAAAAGGTGCTTGTGATGTATGTGCGCCCTCGACCCCAGGTGCCTGCCTGGCCAGCCCAGCCCACCTGGGCCTTCATTCTCCTGCACTCATGGAGTTGGCGGCACACAAGCAATGCTACTGTTCCACCTGCAGCCCATGAGTGAAACCAAGCAGGGCTCTGAAGCCAACAGTGACACGGAACCTGGGGGCGAGGGCGCAGGAAGGAGAACTAGCCACAACGGTCCCTGGGCCTCTGCAGCAGGAAGGCCTGCGAGGGCCATCTGACACCACAGGGCTGTAGCCCACCTTACTGACTTCTGGCTTCTCCTGCCCCGCTCCTGAGGCGACAGGGAAGCACTGGGCCATCAATATCCGCAGAGCCAGAATACAGACACAGGAGGGGGCTGAGGCATCACAACCTGTTGACTGTATGTGCTCAGAAGGCTTTACCTGGCCCTCACTAAAAACAGAGAGTGAGAATAGGCATGAGGAATGAGAATGCCCACAGCAGGGTCCTTTTGCTAAGTCCTAAGCCCATCCCTTTGGCAAGAAACTCATTTGAAAGTACACTTTCTCAGGGAAGTGGAGGACGCCTGTTTCCTCTCCTGCCCAGCAAGGCTCAGCGGCCGTTGGTGGTGGGGAAGGGAGGGCGGGCTGTGGTCTTTTTATTTTCTGCAGTGCTGCCCTAACTTTTTTGTGCAGGGAAAAGAAAGATGGATAAAAAGACCAGGGGACAGGGGGGAGGACTCGAGTGTGGCTGGGCACCTGACTTGGGTGAGGGCAGGCAGCACGTAGAACAAGCAAGCAGGGGAGCGACCGGAAGCACACACACAGGGTGGAGAAACCTGGACATCAGTCCTCCAGCAGCTGCCTCCAGCTTCTGCAGGCCCTTCCCCCTCACTCTCACTTTTCAATGCCTCAGTTTCTCTACTTGGGAAATTTCAAGGACTGTGCTCCCATACTGCGAATTCAGCTTGGCTTCAGGGGTACCTCTGGATCCACCCGGGAGTGACAGCAAGTGGCTCGGTGGATGAGGAGGGGCCAGGATGGGAAGCATCTCAGCTCCTTGGAAAGAGCTGGCAGGGGTGTCACTCCGCTGCCTTCTTCACCAAGGAGCCCCCAAACCCAAGACTCCTTCCTTTTTGCAAAACCCCAGCCTATCTGCGATCTGCGCAAACCAAGGTAACTTCCCCCCCAATGCTCCTACCGCTGAAGAGTGGTCCCGCAGCCCTGCAGGGAGGAGGAGGGAGCTGTGTCAAGTAGGGGTGACAGTGAGGATCACACAGTCACTCCCCAGCTAGCTGAACAAGAGCTTTACCTTCTGTTTACTCTTATACTTTTTTCAGATGGATAGTTGCCATAGTAACTATCAAGGGACACACAAGATAGGGACACACCTCAGAAACACACCTTTTACGAGAAGCATGTTCCATGCCCCACCCCACCCCTGCACTGCATTTTACAACAGCCGAGAAAGACAGAGGACGCCCCTGACTGCTAACAAAAGCAGTAACCCAGAGCACGAGCTCATCCCTTGCCAAATATCAGTAATTCCCACCCTTTGATCCCGAGTCCAGTTTTAGAAACAGCCATCATAAAAAAGGGCTTTCCTGGCTCAGAGAGGGCTGCCTGCTGCAGGGAGAGAGGAGAGGTGCAAAATGCCAGCACTCAGCAAGATGGAACAGTTCCCATCTGCTCTCCAGGGTGTGTTCCCGTTCAAGGGAAGGGGAAGGGAGAGAGGGAGACTGAGTGCTGAAGAACTGGGGCAGGGCACACGTCACCAAGGGAGATGACCTGGTGAAATCTTCCTCCTAGTAAGTGACCCTCTGCTTTGCAAATGCTATAAAGGCAAAGTCACAGAGGCCCCAGGCTCGGAGCTGTGCAGCAGTTCCTGCCTGTACCCCCGGCACACTGGGATGGGCCCGTACCCCTCCTCAGCAAGGACAGCCGCCCCCCAGAGTCAGCTTCAGGTAGCCCACTCAATTCATTTCATATTTTGAAGGGTTTTGTACGTCTCTAAATTTTTTGCCTGTGGCTGGTTTAAAAGAAAAGGGATTCTGAGAAAGAGAACTAGGAAAACATCACATCTACAGACACAAATCCTTCCCTCCCCTGTTTCCAAAGCTCAACTCTTGGATCTTCCCTTGGAGGGAATTTTCAGGAGGCAGAGCCCTGGAGGCTGTAACCAAAACAAATGGAGTCCATAAGAAACCAAGGGAGGAAACTGGGAAAAGAGCAATTAGGAGGAAAAGAAACAGAACCCCTTACCAGGTTCTCTGCCTGCTCAAGCCAAGTCTCCTCTGCCAGTGATAACCTACATTTTGTCACCAGCGACCAATACTAGAATGGTCTGGGCCCCAAGGCACTTGGGGGCAGCTCCGGAGAGTGTGATAAGGTTCCCCAATTATAAATGCTACAAAGGGAGTAAGTCGAATGATGAGCAAACGGGCCCACTCATTAGCTATTTTTTTGTTTTAAGATTTTTATTTGTTTGAGATCTAATTTGCAAAACACCTAAGGATCTCTGGCTCCCACTCCTGGCCAGGGCCAGTCCCTGGC